CTAATTACATTTCCAAAAAAGCATTTAAGTACAAGATACAAATACAACCCAATGTATTTGGTCTCCTCCAAATACTTTTCCAAATACATTCCTCAAAATTTGCGTCAGCGACTTCAGGGCACCTGCAACGGGTTTCTGGGTATCTCATTTTAATTTTGCTTCGCACACTCGGGAGTTAGTGTGCGATAATAGCGTAATAGAAATATAATCACAAAAAAAAGTAATCTGCGTGGACGTAATAGGTGAAAAAAGTACAGAGCTTCAAGCAGCTTTTTTTGTCGATTACATTTTGGTATAGACCAACAAAGAACCGAGACGACCAAGACGCGCAGCACTAGCTAGAGAATTTTTTATTGTTGCAACTCGCACCAGTTACGAAAATCTGGATGGCCCGCACATTTAGAATGTTCCAGGCAAAAGTATGGATATAAATCAGGCTGGAAAGCATCACAAGTTGTCAAAGGCACTTATTAGCCAGTCTGCCTGTGAACGTCGATTTCTTCACTATTCTTGCCCTGGACTAGCACCGTAATCACAAAGTCACTAAACGCTTGTGCTTGATTGAGAGACGCTGCATTCGGTGCAGAACGTAGTTTTCTTCCTGCTCTGGAGAGTGCCTTTAAAATAAAGCCGGAGGAGAAAAAGAAAGCCCCATGGCCCAATAAAGGATGGAGACTATATCTTACAATCATATGCATAAAAACAAGATGTATTTTCGCCCACGAAATTGTATTTAATTACAATTGTATTTCAAATACCCACGATTTAGTATTTAAATACACACGTCAAATACATTACCCAATTTGTAATTAAATACAAAGGCAAAATACAGAAAGTATTTGAAATACGTATTTAAAATACTTGTATTTGAAATACTGCCCATTCCTGACTCCAGCCTTCTGCTCAGAACGCACAACACTGCCATAGCGATGTAGGTGCTATGTTTCTGACAAACAGAAATACAGAACCACGTTGACTGCCGGTTGGCACTCGGCATCGGAAAACAGAACCGAACTCAGCACAAAAGGCATCCAAGCACCCGGCAGCAAAACCTGCCTGTCTTGGACGCAGTTTCAGCGATTTCCATAACGCCGTCAACGTCAACACATCCACCGTGGACACATCGTTCCCTGTGGTCCGCATGGCTCCGCGTGCGTTCCTCGACCCGGACTCGGAGTTGGCTATCTTAGCCCGGTGCACGTAGCGCTGCTGGCACTGTTCCGGAACTTCGCTGTTTCTAGCGGCTTTGTTTGTCCGTTTGATAAAATTAGTGGTAAAAACGTCAGGGCAACCGAAATGTTCTGCACGTTTGGACTGGGAGACGGAATTACAGGTGGCTTTCGCTGCCGCTGAAGCTCAATCAACAACATTTATTAAACAACGTGCGCGACGTGCTTGAAAAACGAAACCGAAAGAAGAGTCGGGAGGGCGGAAGCTTTCTCCCGTCTGCCTGGAGAAGGGGAAAAATGTCTCGTTCCTCCCTTCTTCTCGTGTCCGCTTGGGGGCGCGTCAGTAGAGGGAGGAAAATGCGCCGTTGTTACCTTTTTGCTCCATTTTTTCTTAGAGTGGTAACTTTCTAGCGACGAGATGTTTATGTGGCACCCTCTCATGATTCCCACGGTCCCACCCGTGACGTCATGACCAAGGTTATTACTAATTAGTCGCGAAAGACAAGCTGTGTAAATAGGACGTGGAAGCCCGAAAAGTTGTCTTATTTGTGCCGATGAAAAGAGAATTATTCCTGCTAATGGTGTCATAGTGGGCGTTTGGACAATCGTGGAAAGCGATCCACAAGACGATTTTTGCCGGTCACGGATTAGCTCTTGCGGCGTAAAAAGTGGGTTATTTTAGGGAAACCGTCCGTGTCACAATTTACATTTCAGTCGACTTTTCATATATCAAATAGAACAATTTTTTTTTTGCGTGTCAATCGTTAGGGCAACGCGTCACGGCACGTATTGAGTGCGACAAAGACAAACAGCGATTGCGCTTTTTTTTTACTGTTTCTTTTAGTTTTTAATTTATAATAAACAAGTCTAACGTCAAAACTCAAGCAAAAAAGTTTTTTTTTGCATTTTTTTTTTTTTGCGTGATATAGTTCGTACGTATTTGAAACGTGTTAACGTTAAGTGCACATACGTATACCTTAACATAAATGGTCTCCATTTATGTTAAGTAGCAACGTTGAGCAAATCCGAACTGTTTTTTTTTTTTTTTTTTAACTACGTTTTTCTTTTTAGGCGAAAGCAAGCATACTAGTGTAGTGGAAAGTGTTCATTCGGGACATCGATATCTGGGGTAAAATTTGATGATCTTCAGTACTGCCACTGTAAAGTGAAAACAACAACAACAACAAAAACAACAACAACAACAACGGCGATGTCGAGTTTGCGCTAACCGTGGCGCGCAGTGTGCAGTAACATTCTGCAACAGATGATGTAATTAGGACGGGACGTTTTCAAGCGTTCTTTATATCGAAATTTAAAGAATTTTTGCTTCGAGAGTTTTCGATAGATCGTTCCGATGCCCCCCGAACGAAGCACGCGCAAAGGCAGCGGCGGAGTATCGGGTATCGTTATCGGAGTCATCATAACGATACCCATTAAAACTCTGTAGCGTTTTAAAGAAATAACGGTCAGAAATCGGGTTTTTTAGTTTCCAGATATCCGGGACTGCCCGAAAAAGGTAGGAAGGATTCATTCACGCAAGAACTTTAAGAAAAAAAATAATGATAATAATAAAATTAATAAAACTAAATTTTTTTTGCTTCGTTTTTTTTCTTTCAATATTAATACATTCCTTTTCTTTAGCTTTGCCTTTCTAAAATTTGTCGATAATAATTTTCTTCTCGTTGGGATAGTCACCTTCTTCGGTAGCTAAATTATCATAACAAAAATACAATTCTGGAGAATTACACAAATCATGAGAGGGGAAGGGGTTATATATAGGGTGAAAACAAGTTTTACGCAAAAAATATGAAACTACGTATGAGAAAATAGGTGACGAAGCTTTACTGTCCCCCTAGACCAGGGGTCTCCAAACCCTAACTCGTGGGCCAGACTCGGGCCGGAGATGCCCGCGACCCACTGCTACAAAAAAAAAAAAAAAAAAAAAAAAAAAAAAAAGGCGACGCTGCGACGCTTTTAGAAGCGCAAGCGAAGATATAATAAATAGTGAAAGAAAATCTGCATCAAAATGCGGGTTCTCTCGCCGTGGTATTTGTTGTACATTGTCATCACCAGCATTACTATTCGTAGTTCCCTGTTTCATGTCTGTTTAACTATGACCTGTGTCATAGCACTTGTATATTGTGGTCATCAGATCTAGCATTTTCATTAGTCTTCTGCCCTGTGTTGATATGCCAAAGTTCATGAACTTTGATTTGTGCCTGGTGAGTTCTCTGGGTCACAATTTTTTTATAACTTCATAATTAACAACATATTGCACCCTACATTTTTAGAGCGCAGATATTAGGCGCCCGTTTCCGTGTTTAGCGGCGTCGGCATAACCGCACGCGTTGCATTATGGGACATCACAAACCCAATACAACACTGCGCATTCAGTTTCCCCGCTAAATTTAGCGGCAAGACTGATGTCACATTACCTCAACACCAATTCAGTTTCCCCGCTAAATTTAGCAGGGAAACCGACATTAAGCATAAGTCACGTGACGTCAATTTTCCCGCTAAATCTAGCGGGGAAACTAAATTTGTTCATAGGCGACGTGACACGAAGTCATGTGACGCCCTTTTCCCCGCTAAATGTAGCGGGGAAACGAGTTGGTGTTGAGGTCTTGTGGCGTCAATTTTCCAGCTAAATTTTGCGGGAAAACTGAGACGTCATACGCCACGGCTTCACGAGATGCGGCTTCACAAAATCCGGAGCAGCTAGCCAGAAACGTGGCACGTTGAAACAAACATCGCGCACGTTGCATTATGGGGCTCTCACCGCACACTCCTCACACTCTCTGGATCACCCTCAAATAAAAATATATATTCCTTTCTATATATTCCTTTCTCAAATTTTCTACCACGGTATATCACAAAATCAACATACCTCAAGAGCTGCGCTCTAATTTCGCATTACAGAGAAGCGTAAACGTCTGTAATTTTTGTTTTGTTTTGCTCTATATTTTTTTTTTGTATTGAAACGCTTATTTAGGCTCATTTGCTTAGTAATTCATTTATGTAATCTTTTTTTTTTTTTGTTTTTTTGTTTTCGAGATTTTGGAGATTCCTTTCCTAGACCGTTAACTGGCACAAAAAAATTTAATAATAATAATAGTAATAATAATAATAATAATGTCGGAGAATAACTGAGATGTAAATAGTGTATACAAAACCGTATCTCTACATATTTAAATAAGGACGCTTCCAAACATTGCACCTTATTTGCAATGCATTATAAGCGCTCTATTGTCAGTCTTCATAAACATATTTCTACGCTTTACCGATCCATTCCTTCTAATTTTTGTTCTCTGCTTACAAAATATGCGCTTAAATATAGACCCATCGGAGGAGTGCATTGCACTCCTCCGATGGGCATTGCACAGAATTCACACCAAACAAACGAATTTTAATTATGCAAAACAAAACTTGGGCAATGTTGGCAGCACCTATTGGACGTAATGATCCTGCACGCACATTGAATAGGTGCGCTGAGCCGTAACCGAAAAAAACAAACATCGATCCGAACGCTATTATTTTGTCCCCGACAGCGCACATGCACTCTGTACACAAGCCACACGAAATATTCTGCACTTTTATTCCGGGCGTGCGGCATCCACCACAAAGCGGACGTTGCCGATTACGATGTCATTTCAGTTTCGGTATCGAATGGTCGAAGCGTTGTCGTTGAAACCAACACCTAAACGAAACAGACAGCGGCAGCGCTCCGGCAAAACCGAATCCGACGGAGGAGTCAATAATTATGCGTCGGCTAGTCGACAGAAGATCGCCGACGTTTTGTTTCTCACCGATTTAAAAGTAATCTGTACTCACCACTGTTCGCTTGGGAAGCTGAGCTTTTCGTGTGAATGATTTGAGCCATCCCAGCAGATCTCCATCTTTCAGATCTCAGCAGCACGGGAGATTCATCCTCCAGAGTTTCGGCTTCACGGCGACGATTTTTTCTCCCGTTTTCTTTCGGCGGGGAAGGGCCAACGGATCGCTGTTTGCTGCTTTACATCCTCGGCAGGTGTGGTGGTACGGCGCAAAAAATGCAACGATCGTCCCGTCGAATGGCACGGTTCTCAATTTCAAAAGTAAACAGATTTTTTCGCCGGGTACCGAGACGCAAGTTTCCGTATCGGAGTTTCTTTCGGGTACCGCCGGCCGAGAGTAAAATACCCTCGATGCCAAGTTGATCAGAAAGATTTCATGCAGTTTTTTTTTGTGACAGTTATATTTTTTTCTACTAACTGCTAAATAAAATATCAATAAGGACTTATCGTATAAAAATATTTATAATTATTTTAGTTTCGTTTTAAGAGCCGTGTTGCATTTATCCCAGAGGGGGCGCGAGTCGGTTTTGCAATGGCCGCGCACATGGATGAAGAGATGGATGATGATGTCCTGCGAGTGGAGGATGATTATTACGCTTTTTTGAACGTTTCCAAAGATGTAAGTCGCTCTCGACGGGAGAAGGATTATGTTCTCGCAATATCAGTTGATATTCTGTCGCTACTTTAATAATTGTTCTTACCCGATGGCTGGAGTTTGTGTTCGTTCTGAGGGTACCGCCTGCGGTTAGGTCGTTTTGCCGCTTCTTTTAGTGTCTGTATTTGAAGCCGTCTCAGGCGGAGGTAGCACGTTTACAACTGCCCCAGTCTCGCCAAAAATAACGTTTAAGTTTTTTTTGGAAACATCTAACGCATGTTTGCATGCAGTGACCCTCGATTCGTACTTTCCGAGCGGCATGGTTATCGATTCGCCGGTCTTTCAATGCTAAAACCACCATAACCGTTGACATTTTTGGGTTTGTCGTAACTTCCTGCATGTCCCCGGTCCTGGTTCATGATTGGAATAGTCATTGAGCGGCATCCTTCTTAGGGAGACATGAAGGAAGCCGTTTTGAAGCATTAATCGGGTTTCAACGCACATGCGCGCACACTCGCACGCCTATGAGCTGTTTCATACCAGACTGGCGTGGGAAATCCGAATTTTATTAGATGTCCCGCAGCCTATGCTACGTGAGCGGTTTTGCAGCTTACTGTCTTTGCACACGTGAACCACAGGAGGATGATGAAATAGTTCAGTTCCCAGTGTTGTTGGGATTTTTATGTGTTTGACTACTATTATTATGATTATTATTGTTACTGCCATTATTTTAGTTACCGCCGAAGTCTGTCTTAAGACGATACTGTAGATATATTAATTTTATTTTTTTTGCAGGCCAGCCCAGAGGAAATTACGAATGCTTACCGGCGGCTCAGCAAGATCTACCATCCCGACAAGCATGCGGATCCTCTCAAAAAGCGGGATGCTGAAACTCTATTCAACAAGACACGTCAAGCTTACGATGGTTTGCATTACTAATGCTTGCCAGTTTTACGAAAGTTTGTCGAGTTGATGATTGTAGTCTCTCATATTTCAAGTGAAGTGCATGATATACCTGTCATATATAACAGGATAGCACATGACTATGATCACCGCCCATAAGAATGAAGGAGAATACTTTAGTGAATTTCAAAGCCATTTTCTTCTACATTTCTTCTTTTTATAGCTTCTGGCGTCTCATCTTAGTTGCTGCGAGAGTGAAAAAAAATCTAATTTGCCTCTCAGGGAGAAAGTAAAGATAGCACTTGTAGAAGGTTTGTCTGCTGATGTGAGAGAAGAACAGTTTGTCTGCTACAAAGTGCCATTCGCAGACAAAAATGAAACACTGTAGGTCATCTGCTAAGGGGGAAAAAAGGTGGTAGTCCGCTACAAACCGAGCGCTGCGGCGAAGTGAGATTGAATGTAGGCTAAAATTGTGATAGTTTGCTATTTCATGCTGGAAACCATTGGAAACTCAAGCTTTAGTTGCAAATCTCGGGTTCTGCTTCTGCGCATAAGCTGACATTGACCTTTGGATGAGGAAGTGCTTAAGGCAAGCGTATCAGAGGCTGCAAGACCACTTGCTGTTTGTGCTTTCGTGAGACATTCTCACCAAATTTTGCCAGATTGTGAACTCACCAATGTTGCAGAAACGTCTCATTGGTTGATTGCATGCAAGCTGTGGCACCACATTCAATCAGCAGCCAAGAACACTCACTGTCACCTTGACCAAAATCTGATCCCTGATGCTCAAGTGCAAGGATTCTGTTGGTTGGATCAATCATGTCCAAGTCTTCAGATAACTTCATTCAAAGTGTACATCCTCTCTCAAGAGACATTGGTACAGATCCAAAAGGCATCATACTCCGCTTGAGGAGAAGGAGAAAAGAAGGAGGGGGAGGGAAATTAGAGAGGAGGAAAGGAGGGGGAGGGGGATTAGAGCGAGAGGAGGGGGGTTCAGGAGGAAAGTCGGGACGCTACCCCAAAAATTTGTTACAAAAAAGAAAGAAAACAAAACAAAGAGGGAAAACATGGAGATGCCACCTGTTTTGGGGATGGACGGCACCCGTCTGCTGTTGTTTCCGACTTGCCTGCTGGCTATGTGTTTGTTCGCATCTGTTTTGTTTTTTCTTTGTTATTGGCACCTTTTTTTTGTGTTCGTGAAACGAACATGCGTGACAAATTATGCATTCAGAGTCGTCGCGGCGGCACCTACTGAGGTCCCATTTTGGTTACAGCGACGGCGAGATTGAGATTTAATTTTTTCTCACGGAGCGAGCCAAGATATCGCTCTCAAAGGGTCCGTATGCTTCGAAATGTCATTCATAGAGAAAATAAAACACAAAAACACCGCAGATCGTCTTCTTACAAATTGAAAAAGGAAAAAGAAATGTGTCGTCTGCTACGAACCTAGTGCTGCAGTAAAAGCTCTCCAACTTTCTTCCTCAACTCCCTTCCCTCGCTCTCTGTGTCACTCTAATCCTCCTCTCTCTTCTTCTTTCCTCCTTTTCTTCGAGCGGAGTATGACGCCTCTTGGATCTTTACCGAGACATTTTGTACAGGTTACTGGATATGTCATGTGACTGCAGTGAAGCAATGTGGCTTGTAAACTCAAATTGCTTGTCTACTGCCACTATTGATAGCTTTCATCTATGAAGAAATTAACGCTCAGGTTACAATGAGCCAGCAGCGAGGATTGAAGTCTCGTAAGTAATTTTTATCCGCACTCACTCGAGTGCTGCACAAGTTTCAGCTCCTTCGGGATCTATGCTTTCTCTTTCCAAAAATTTTTTTCTCAAAAGAAAGAATGAAAGAAGTTCACTTCTTTTTTTTTTTTTTAATTACAGAACAAAAATGAGATTTCTGCTTACATTTTGTAGAGATTTAACTATGTTATTGTCCTCTTGATAGACTTTTTTGCTGTCAAGTCAGAAAACATGATGGTATGGACAGCTGAGGCAATTCTTGTAGCAAAACTGCAAGATTTTGTTCTTTGTATCTTTATAGATAAATGTTGTCGGGCGACTTCGTGGTCCTTCTTGTTTTTGGCTTTAAAGGGATACTACAACGAAATTTCGGTGCTTATTTCTTGGTCTAATCGTGTTCAAGGAAGCAGTATCACATCAGACACACCAATCTCTTGTTGAAAAAGACACGTAAATAAGTTTTAAAACTAATTAAATGGTTAGCAAAGAGCACCTGGTAAATGTTGCTAGCGCCGTGTTTGTAATGCTGTCTAGGAACCTTGATGGGTAATGACGATAACTGTCTCGCCTCTGGCCACCACGAGAGAAGAGATGAAAGAGGAACGCCCCTCTCCCCCAGACTCTCTTTTGTGTGTCACAGACACTGCTACTCTCCCTCTACAAGATTAAGGAAGATTAACCCGTCACTGAAAGTTTGTACCAAAGCAGCTTTGGGGTCACTTGCGGTGGCCTCATCGCTGGCATGCTTCGGCCGCTTCGGTGGCTGGAACGGCTAGGACATCCTCTCGACGTCAGCCTTGCCGCAGCTTTGCTTGTTCTGAGACAATCTACATCATGATTGGGCCGGGTGCCACATGCTCTCCGCTGGCTGCTCTCCGATCGCTTGCCAGAGTGGGCCATTTATAACGAAAATTACAGCCGTCAGGCTCAAAATACAAGCATGCAATTGTCATTTATGGATATTGTGGATCATATTCAGCCTATATCTGAGCATGACGGGTATATTTCAAATTTCGTTCAAGTGTCCCTTTAAGCTCTTTTATGTGGGCAATTGCGAGTGGGGCAAAATATAATTTCTTTCTCCAATATGTTACTGGGGTGAGTCTGGGTTCTATCACTTGCAATATGCCGCATAAAGCTCCTGTTCTAAATCCAGATGTCATAATGAACGGCATTAGGGTTTCACCTGTTGTTGTATTTTGTCTCTTTTACAGTTCTGGCAGATCCTCATAGAAGAGCCATCTACGACACCTTGGGCACAAAAGGCCTGGATACAGAAGGGTGGCAAGTAAGTGGCCATTTCTTAAAAAAAAAAAAAAAATGTTGGGCCAGCTTTTGGTTTTTATTCTTTCGACTACATATCCAGTCACGCTATTGAAGGGTAATAAAAATGGTTTTGTGGAATTGCACTTCAAAGCCAAATTTCTTGGTGAGTGCAGCACAGTTTATTGGGAGTTTTTTTATTGATAATTAAATCATTTGTTGTAACTAGCACTTGCATGAATATGTTTGTATGCAAAAATGTCCTTCCCAATACTAAAAGATTTAAAGGAAAACAGAGTGTGGGCATGGTAAGAGGTCAGGTTAATGTAAGCACTCAACTGACTCACATTTTGTTTTAGCAGAAATTACACCCACTTACACAGCTAACAGTAAACCTGGTTTCGAGCAAATTTCCTGTGAAATCGGTTTTGACAAAGTATGATTCTGTCCACAGATAAGTTATTTATTGCTTGTGAATAAGGTTCCCTGTTTTCAGAGTTTATTTTTTCGTATAATAAAGAAGGTGTTCTATTGAGTTTATTTTTTTAACAAAAATTCAGAGTTTTTTAGGGATTTTAATTTTGTTTGATTCTCAATTTTCCCAAATTCAAAGTTAAATTTTGCAGTGTTTTCTATTTTTCAAAAATAAAAATAATAATAAATAATACCGGGGTGTACATGTGTGCTAGATTGAAAAAAATGTGCTTGTATCAAATATTTTTCTTAAGCAGGATTTGGTATTGGTGTCCTTGCCATTGGCAATACTAATGTCACGCAACAAAATTTGCATGCAAGTGTTGTCTCGATAAACATCAATACCTTAAAATCTCATAAACTCTTGCGGGTTGTTGCTGCGAAGCTCGTTTTTATCCCATCCTATCCCATCACCCTACCCCACGTCTACGCGGGGTGGAGCGGTAAAGGATCAAGTAGAAACTTCAACAGCACCCCCCCCCCCCCTCCCCCCTTTCCCTTCTGTAAAATATTTATGGTTAATAACTTTCACTGTTACAAAAGCACAACCCCTCCTTCTTCTAAAGGCCCGTTCACTCTCTTGCAACTGAGTACGACCGAGAGAGACGAGACCCTTTGAAACCTCTTAAAATTTCTTAAGACGAGGGAATACACTGGCATTCTGGCGCCATCTATGCGATGACCTGGAACTGCATTTTGCAAGAGCAAAGGTTTTGCGGGATTTCCGAGGTCAAATGTCCGTAATACCTATAAGAAAGGCTTGTTTATAACGTTGACAAAAGTTTTTCGAGCCAAGAAAGAAGGGATATTGCACGAGAGAAATAGAAAATATGCTGGACCGCCAAGTTTACACTGTTGCCCAAAAGATGGCGCCAGTGTGTCCTCTCGTAAGAGGTTTTAAGGCACCCAGTTCTAAGAGGTCGCAAGAGTGTGAATAAGCGTTTAGAAGCATAAATAGCATGGTACAAAGTGGAAACCAAAAAAGTGGCTTTTGTCGTCACCCATAAGTACACTGACATGTCCTGAATGAGCCTTGACAAGATAAATGGCAGGACCCTTTTTGGTCAATGATCTCAGATTTAAAAGGAAATTGGTGTTGCATTTCCTCAGGACGAATGACAATGTGCACTGACCAAGCTTAATTGTAAAATATTGTCTGTTTTTTTTTTGTTTTTTTTTGCATTGGGAGATTGAAATTTAGAGTTTATCGGATACATCCGAATTGCAAAAAAATTTCCAGCTGGTGTTCTCCGAAGTTTTGCAGATTTATCCAAAAGCATGTAATCACACCTATTAAGCATGGTCTGGAGGATTGTTTCTAGATGAAATTATGTAGGACTTTCTTAATGCAAACTTCATTGTTCCACTTCATGCCTATGATGCCAAGCACAAACTCTAAGTGGTACTATACCCAATGTCCATACTATTCCGCTTAACCACGTTTAACAGTAACATTAACAGCAAGAAAATGCAAGCATTATGACGATCACCTTTTTTGTGAGTGAAGTCAGATAAGGCAAATCTAATTGTTAAGGTAGGTTCTTGATTTCTATGCAGTTTCTCTCAGTTTGGCTCTACCTCTACATAATGTATAAAGTACCAAGCTCGAGACAGGGCAGAAAAGAGACGAGAATGGGCAAAAGCAGTTAATTGCACTGGTTCTGCGTTGCATCCTAAAACACTTAAGCTTGCAGGAACGTTAGTGCCTACTTTCTTGTGTTTTTTTTTTTTGTAAACTTCAGAATTGGCAGGGACACTCTAGTAAACGCATTATTGTTTGCAAGGTCAACAGTCTTCTGCACTGCACTGTATTGCATCAGTGCAGACACGGGGGGTGTTCTTTAGCTGCCATTTGTGGCAGAGAAAGTCGTCCCTCAAAATCTAAAAGCTTTAGAACCCTTATGAGTGCTCTCACAATATAAAGCTTGCACAACCTTAACTTGAGCTACAATGTAAAACAACCTCTTTCGGTGAAAAGACTACTCTCCTCGCCCTGTCAGAACGGGGGAACACATAAGGCATCCTTTGTGTATGTTTGCTGGCCTTCTTTTAAAAGACGCAACAAGATCCGGGCCGTCGTGACTGTTGTTTCGTGCCGTCGGTGCTGCACCAAGTCTTTGTTGTTTTTTGCCGTCTCCGGTTGTGTCAAACATTTCGTATTGAGTTACGCTGTTTACTTGGACTGCTGAAACCTTCGTGCATTCCAGCCTGCAGCACCAGCATGGTCTGACATTCGTGAGCATGGGACACAAGTGCTTTGTTCCGAATTGTTATTCCCTTTATTCAGTGCTTCGTCGGGCCCTGAGTGTTTGGTGCAATGGGCACATGCGATTCCTCTCAAGGATCGGCCGCTAACGTCTAAAGACAATGTGTGTGCAAAGCACTTTGCAGAGGATATGGCATTGAAGGCAAAGTGCTACGGTGAACTTGGGCTGAACTGTCGATCGATGCTTCAAAATGACCAGTTCTGCTGCCACACGCGGTGCCATGTATATTCCCACCATGCCCTCCGTACCTGTCGTCCGCCCTCAAGAAAAGAAAATAGGTAACAAAGCGGCAATCTCACTTGCTTCCTGCACAAAAGGAAGTAAGGAGATTATCAACGCATGGATCACGGGACATTAGCCATGGACTTTTTAGCCACCATCACAGTCAGAAACCAAGTGACACAGCTGCAAAAAGTTCAGGGGAACACATTTTTGAAACTCTGCCAAGTGCTCAGGTGAACAACTCTACAGATGACATGGCAAGTGGTGAAGCAGTACCAGGATTTACAACGACAGCTACACAAGAAATGCCCTGCCAGTTGTGACTCATCGACAGGGATGGAGCAACAAGGACCTTCCACAACCACAGGGTACTTACTGTCTTGACCCTGCAAACATTGTCTTGCCGACTACAGCCTGGGGTCACCGCAGAGTTCCCATGAGAGATCTGCGCAACTTCAGCTTCACAAAGTTTCAGCTCTCGGCAGCTACGCCCTCGTGTTCTGCGAAGATTTTTCATTTAGAAGAAAAGACAATGGAGAAATTACAGATGATGGCATTTGCTTTTGACAAGAGAGTTGAACTTGCATTATTGCCAAACAACTGTGAGCTAAAAATCACAGGAGATTGGAGTGTTGTCAGCGAAGCACTCGAGTCATTCCACAAGGTCAATCATTGTGCCGGGAGATCTGCTCAGAGCAAATTTCTAAGTGTTCATCCTGAATGTGCCTACGTCGACAAAACTGGAGTTTGGAGACATAACCTTTGTACAATTGTTGAGCAAGAAAGGAAGCAGTGTAACTCTTGTGCCATCTTGAACAATACTCTTCGGGTTCATCAGGCTCAACTTCAGAAGCGAAGGACGGAACTGAGGCTATGTATCCTGCTGAGTCCTTCCAAAAAGATAAAGGTTGTGAAGTTGAGGAAACAGCGCATTGCGTGCTACCGATCCAAATTGCAACTTCTAAAGTCAAAACAAAAGCTGGAGGCTGAATTGATAGCATGCCAAAAAGAACTCAAGCTGTTGGGAAAGGATGGCCTGAAGGAAACTCTGGAGTGAGCCAATCTGCCTAATGCTCAACAGGTGCTCATCATGGAGTGTGTTTCTGCAGCAATACAAAGTCGAAGGAGGGAAGAAGATACACAGACAGCTGGTTGCTATTGTGTCTTCTACTTCTTATTTGTACACCAGCTGGGTACAGGCTTCTAACAGAAAATGACATTCTGTGCTTGCCTGCCTGCCGGTGAAACCGTCCATCGTTGTATCACTATGGTCTAAAATAGGGTTTCGACACCTACTTTTTTCTTGCATTGAAGAAAAAAACTGGCTTCCAAGCTCGAGTTTACCAGGCATGGAATAATCCTCTTCGACAAAATGCAACTACGGAAGAGCAAGTGTGTCAGCTCGAAAACGTTGAGCTACGTGGGCCTCGTTGACAATGGCAAAGACGAGCAGAAGAGCACCTAATTAGCAGACCATGGATTGGTGTTCATGTTGTGCCTTTTTGGAAAGAACTATGCACAACCAATTGGCGTGTTTGTGTCGACACACACGGATCGGGCAGTCTGTGCAACAGACTGCCCGATCTATGCCAGAGCATGGTGGGCCGGAGGCACACGAGCCGGCCTCCACCGGCTTTAGGCTTACGGCGCCATCTGGTTGTAAATCTGTGAAGCGCAGCAAGTAATGGGGCAATATCGTGTTGCGTCGGAGAGCGGACTATTAACACCTAAAGAGATATGTCTTACATTGTGACTTGAGCAACCATTTACACCCCAAATTTATTCAAAATTATTTATTAATATTATTTGGGTGCTTGTTTTGTATTTTGCGACAATAGCATGTTCAACCGACGAAGTTCTGTGTCAAATGACAACCTTTTTTGTTTAGTGTGCACAACTCGTGGAGCCTGTAACCAAATCCTTAGGATCATTGAGGTGTTTCACATATGCTTGCTCCTAGTTTCTTCAGATTAGTCGGAGACGTTTGATGTTGTACCTCTGAGCCAGATAGACAATGCTGCACTTAATGACTTGCAGCCAGAGGTCGGCATTTTAGGTCGCCCTCACTCACCCTCACCCTCACAGCCACACTTACCTAAGCTCCTCACTCACCCTCACCCTCACAGCTACACTCACCTTCAGCCCCTCACTCACCCTCACCCTCACAGTCACACTCACCTTCAGCCCTTCACTCACCCTCACTGAACCTCACGGCCCTCACGCACTCACCGCCCTCACGGCCCTCACGGCCCTCACCGCCCTCACGGCCCTCACGCCCCTCACTCACTCATGGCCCTCACGCCACTCACCGCCCTCACGGCCCTCACGGCCCTCACCGCCCTCACCGCCCTCACCGCCCTCACCGCCCTCACGGCCCTCACCGCCCTCACGGCCCTCACGGCCCTCACGCACTCATAGCCCTCACGCCACTCACCGCCCTCACCGCCCTCACCGCCCTCACCGCCCTCACGGCCCTCACGCCACTCACCGCCCTCACGCCACTCACCGCCCTCACGCCACTCACCGCCCTCACGCGCCTCACCGCCCTTGCGGCCCTCACACCCCTCACGCCCCTCACGCACTGATGGCCCTCACGCCACTCAGGCCGGCTTCAGATGGGGCAATTTCGCCCAGAAACTTTACGTCGCAACACCAGCAACACGGGCCGCCCACGATCACACGCAGCAACGAATTGCTGCAATTTGCCATCGTCATCATAAAATTTTATTTTTCTTGCACTATTTAGACACAATTACGCGTTATAAACGTGTTTTTATGCATTTAAATCTCGTTAAGAATACCAATGCACCTTTCTGAAACAGTTTATTTCCAAAAAAAACGATCGATTTCAAACCAGAACCAAGTCTTTCGGTGTCATCATCACCGGCACGAGGTATCACGTGAAAATTTTCCGTCCCTGATTGGATGCAGCCGCTTCAAACGCATTCGAATTGCTCCGAGTTGCATGGCCCTCACGGCCCTCACCACCCTCACGGCCCTCACGGCCCTCACCGCCCTCACGGCCCTCACCGCCCTCACCGCCCTCACGGCCCTCACCGCCCTCACGGCCCTCACCACCCTCACGGCCCTCACCGCCCTCACCGCCCTCACGGCCCTCACAGCCCTCACGGCCCTCACCGCCCTCACAGCCCTCACGGCCCTCACGGCCCTCACTCACCCTCACACTCATGAATTTTCCTGGTTCAGAAACTCACTCACCCTCACCGCACCTGTGATGATGAGGGTGAGTGAGGGTGAGTGAGGGCCCTCATGAGTGAGGTTTGCCGAGGTATGCTTGCATCACCTTTCGAATTAATGCTACTATTTGCATGTGCATGGAGATACAAGTAATGATTGAGAATGAATTTCTGGAAGCAACTTTGGGAGAGATGCTAGGGTGAAAACAACATGTAGACATTTGATTCACGAATCCTGCACATCATCAGCCTTACATTCACTACCAGTTTTCTCAGATTTGCTTTTTTTCAAGAAGTACGGACCGCATGAAATGTCGTTCTCTCGTATTAATTTTTGAATGAAATTCATCCTTTGGCACTGGGTATGGCAATGGCAGTATTCCATTGAAACAGACCTTCAAGAACCAAATGAAAATGGAAATTTGGTTGAATTGCTTCATTGCTTAATTTAAAACTAAAACAACACAAACCAAGGAAGTGATTTCTCTATTGGGGAGGGGGGAAATCAGATAAATGCTAACTCAATTTCTTCTAGAAATCATGCGGCATAAAATCGTGTTATACTAGAAAGCAAGGGCCGATTACTCATGTCAAAACTGCAGCTTGGGCGAGTTATTAGCAACTTTACAGTGCACAGTTACCCTGTAGATGTAGGCTTTTTCTTTTTTAAGCTGTGACCACACAGCTTAGTTGTTTTGAAATGAGGGTTCTCGTAATTTAGGCTCTTAACATTGTAAGTGCCCAAGCTGATGCGTTACGCAAACCGATGCATTGTGACAGGTGGTTCAAAGGACCAAGACTCCCCAGGAGATCAGGGAGGAGTATGAGCGACTCGCGAGAGAGCAAGAGGAGAGGCGAATGCAGCAGCGTACAAACCCCAAGGTGAGTTCCAGGCTCCATCGTTGTCGCACTATGTCTTCTTTGAATAAAAAAGATTGCCTTTGTGCACAGGGGACCATCAGTGTTGGCATCGACGCCAGTGACATCTTCGAGGCCTACTATGATGAGGACGACACCAGGGGGTAAGAGAGGCGCCGTTATTGTAGGACATTCTATGGCTTTCCGGACTGGAGTTTCTCATAGTCACCCCAAGGGTATTTCAAGCTACCGATTCTCTCAATTGTTCATGCCTCTAGGTAAAGTGTTTCCCAAGCTAATTCACAATTTAAGCAATCTAGGCGAGTTGCTCCTAGTCTATATGGTGGGGCCTTGTTGATACACTTTTCAGAGGACTGCGGTAAAAGAAAAGTATGACCCGGGTAAACATAACTGAGAATTCTCTTGGGGGGCTATACATGAGGTGAGAAGCCATTCTCGCCCAAAAATTCATTTTGTGTTGTAGAGTTTCACAGCCTTAGATAACTGTAGCATGTTAATTCAAATGAAAGTTGATCTCTTTCTTTAGCATTGCTCTGTAAAGTTATGGGTTGGTCTATGATAGTGTGTAAAGAAAGTTGACTTATAAGGCTAAGAAAATTTCTGGTCCCATCGAGCTAACATGGATTCTCCTTTATGCTGGTTGCTGCTTGTAGCTCACTAGTGCGAAGGAATGAAGTGGACGTATTCGTCAATGCTGTAGTAAAGCTTGACGTGAGCAGTGCTGTTTGAATACCTTGCATGATCATGTGCTTGACACAATGATCATGCAATCTTTTCAGGATTAGGCTGTCTTTTGCCACAGAAGCTGCCATCCCACCGTTTTGCAAAGGGTTTTCTCACGTTTTCTAGTTTATTGCTTGCGATGGCAGCTGCTAGTGCGGTCGACAAATTAGCTTTAGCTAGGGTGACTAGGGATGCTGGCAAATAAATGTTTATACAAACTTCACATTAAAAATATAGATATCTTTGTTTCCGCAGCTTCGTAATTGCCATTCTGAAGTAGAACTAGCGGAACCAAGAAACCGAGCACAACGGAAGCATGCGCTTCTGTTGTGCTTGAGTTTTTGCAGAAGCTTGGACCTTTTTTCAGCCTAGTCCAAGGTCATTTCTGCGCGAAAAAGATGCAGAGAGGCAAAGAGGAAAATAAAAGGGAGAATGATTCACATGAATTACAAGGAGAATGATCTGAGCCAGTTGGTATTTATTTCGAGTGGAATCAGCTAAACACAGGAAGAAAGGAAGGAGATGAGAGAAGACAACCGAAGGCTAGAAACAGGTGAAAAAGGGCAGTCACGGCCGGGTGGTTCGTCATGTTGCATCGGCCGTGTTATATGGCAGTTTTTGAATGCAGCAAATGGGCAGCAAATGAAACTTGCAGGGGATCGTTACGCATATCTCTATAGGTGTTCCATGGGACAGGCATTTGTGAGAGTAACAGCCGCAAAGAAGCATAAACCGAGAATTGGCCAGCGAGGTTTTACTCCATGTTATTGTTATTAAGGATTAAGCTTCTGAACTGTTTTGTTGCGAGCACATCTGAAGGGCTCTTCTCAAGGTCGTCAAGTGTTCCTCGAGATTAAAAAGTTTGGAAACCACTTCTGTATCCCGTGCAGCCCTTCAGACTTACTATACTATGACTGCAAACCTTCTCCTATATGCTAGTTTGAAAATAACATGAGATATTGAAATATTGTGTGTATTTCTTTGTTCAAGTAAGACAGCCATTTTGGCTGAAAAATTTCCACCTTGTAATTTATTTGCATGTGTCTGTGTGAATATTTCATATTTTTTTAAGATGTTTGGTTCGGCGTTATTCATTCAGTGAACCATAGTTCTTTCTCTTGGGAACAGGAGAGGAAAAGAATGTTTGTACATGAACATTTTGATGATGATAACAATGTCTTATCCGCTACACCTTGTTATACTTAGTTTATTCCTGTCCCACCTGTTTGCATTTTGCTTCTACATATATCCCTGTATTTCACTTTGAAAGAAACTGCGCAATCTATAATGATTTAGATAATTTGAACATTTCGTTTTGACGCACTAAAATATGGGATTAACCTTTTGCCTACCGCAAAAATTAAAAAAAAAAAGGTTTGGAAATTACCAAATTTTTTTATGTGCCCTATAAATTTAATATGCAATTCAAAGGCCAAAAACAAATGCCAAAATATTTATTATATGAGCAATCTTTGAACACACGACAAAAGAAAAAAGAACTAGAGTACCGCTTCACTGCATTACTGCAGACAGTTCTCATCACCTTGCACATGGACGTTCAGGCCGGGCGTAGCAGTACTGCAGACAGTCCACCTCACATTGCACGCAAAGTGAACGCAAAACGTGGAGGCGCTGGAGGGAGATTTTCTACATTGGTTCTAGTCCATGCCGACACGATGTCCTCATGGAAATCGGAGTCGTCTGAGCTCAAATTCAATAACTCAGTTGCATTCCTCTCGCTGTTCGCAGAAAGATTCATTTCCTCGTCTTCTGAATCTGAAGAGACGTCACAATATCTTCGTTTTCCTCCCAATTTTGAGGCAAGATCGTCACTACGAACACAGCGACCAGAAGTCGACGTCGCCATTTTTAAATCTCCTGTCGCCTGCGTTGGAACAATTTTCTGCCAAATTCAAAAATTTACCAGGTTCTTATTTTCCGTGAAGCGCCATCTATCCACGGCAAAGCTCACTAGAAACACATGGACTAGCCCAGTTCGTTCATGGTAGGGTATTGGAGCCCGAATCAACGTGAACGAGCCCAGATCGTTCATGGTAGGGAAAGGGTTAATGCAGAGAATTTAGATGAAAGCGTGTAAACTTGGTAACATGCTGCCTCTATGGACTGCTTCCAAAAATCAAAATGCAGCCACCCGAGCATATGGAACCTATACTTTTGCTTTTGATTAGTCATATCCTTAGAAATTGCACATCTTCAGGTTCTGGAGTGACATGACTCTTCTGCCCAGTCAGCCATCATGCTAGAATTTAGAGCCACACTTTTTTCAACTCACGTTTTCAAATGTAATGAGGTTTAGAAAAGGTAGTGTCGAAAATCCTTTTCGTCGTAGAGGTAGATCGTTCACTATTTCTTGTATTTTTGTTAGGTTTTTTCCACAAATGGAGATCAACAGCATGACCTTCAGCCAGTCAATCGAAGCACCACTGAGCCTTAACGACACTGTGACGCTAAGTGGAAACCTGTCTACGCAAAATGGAAACGGCAGCGGAAGCGTTACCTGTTCTTTGCGGCACCTCATCTCTGGAACGGCCTGGTCAGAGGTGAGGCTGACAACCCAGCTGCTTGGCTTAAAAGAGCAATGAAACAAAGTATTTTCTGGAAAAAAAATTATTGCTTCATTTGGCGGCATGTTGAAGTGGGCATTCAATGTGCTGCCACATTCTTTCCAGAATTTTAAATTGAAGTGCCTTTGACATTCCTTGAACATAAAGGACACCATGAAATGGTATTTTTTACTACAGGGCTGTGTATTCTCTGAAGAACACAAAGTTAAACAAAAACCAGAGGAGCATCTGAGAGGATGCACCATTTGAAACCCTGGGAATTACCGATGTTGTTTCTTACCCTCCAACTATGCATTCAAGTATTATTTAGATCAAGTTACTTTCAGTGTTTTGGGGGTCAGCAATATTATATAATTTATGGGTTTTTTTTTTGTTTGTTTGCTTTTTTTTACTGAAGATGGTGCCTCAGACGGTATGGTACTTTTCAAATATTCAGAGTTCTGCATTTTCGTCTGTCACACTAGGCTGAGGAAAATATGGGGAAATAGCCGTGACCAGCCGATTCTCGGCCAGCAATTTTGTTTTTGGCAAAATGTTAATTTTGGTTTACATGTATTTTTGTTTTGAAAATTGGTTGCATTTTGTAAAAATCGGGGAATGTAGACATGCCTTGTCAGGACCCTTCCAAGTGTTTGTTTCAAAATTCAGCACACTCATACTTAGTGTAAGCCATCAAAACTGCAACAGATCTATGCCGAGTTTCTGAGAAATGGAAGACACAACATAGCTGTTCCCTTCAGCTTGGTGGTTACATCAAACAGTCACATCACATAGCCTTGTGTAGGGTATCACTGGTACCACCGTTTCATTTACTGTATTAAATTTTCTTGTGAGGCAAGGCAGCATATATTTGATTGAAAACCTGTGCAGCATTGCAATACCTCTTCTGCATGCAAAAATAATTTCTGAAATTCACTTCAGTGTCTTTTTGACGAAAAACTAGGCACAGTTCTTGGGAAACCTCTCTGCAAGCGTTTCTAGTTTTTCAAGTTACATAAGGGCTGAAAGCGAGGCTTCACACACAGCTTGACTGATAGATCCTGCAAACTGCGATTAACATCTGTTTATACTTCAGAATGTGGGAGATTTTTTTTTTTTTTGGTGCTGTGACAGAGTTAATATGTTTAAGTCAGAATTAAAATACCGAGCATGCACCCACATCACGATAAGCACCCATTTGCTACTTTTGGAATATCTGAAAACTAAGCAAAGGACATATCAAACACCCACCCCAGACTTCTGAGCCTACCAAGGTAAGCAAAAGGCTCTTCTTGCCAGTCACTTCTCCAAGCTCGCTGGCATAGTGCAGTGAAGTTTGACAAATACAGATCTATGCTAAGGCAGGAAGCCCACCCTAACTTGTGCCCCTAGTCCATTTTTTCTGTCAGACCTAACAGGCAACCATCCCTCAATTTTTCAGCAGTATATCTTTTAAATTTTGGGTGAGCACTTGCTCAACATTTTACGGCAATATACTCCACATAACATGGATGAGCTGTGGGAACACGGAGCGATAGCTTCAAAAAGTGATCCACCTATCATGTCCCTGTGTTTCCGAAGTTACTCCCTGTTTTCATTTCGATTTGGGGAAATGTATGTTTCGTACTTGTCTGCAATACCAAGAGGCTAAGGTCTAAGGCAATGACAAAATGGAGTTTATTTATTTGTACCATGTGGGGAATAGAAGAATCATTTTGAAGTATTGAAGCATACAAACAGCATACTTTGTTTCAGCTATTTTGAATTTAACCTATTTAATAAAAATGTGTTACTTGAAAAGAAACAGTGCTGAAAATTGGTGGCCGAGTGGGCTAGCACACACCAGCTTGGAGCATGTGGAGCGAAAGCTTGCACTGCAGAACCCAGGGAATCCTGGGTTTAATCTCCACCCTTGTCCATTTCGATCTGGATCAGCATCGTACCGGCGTGCGGTCGTGTATCACTGCTGCGTGGTGCACGTTAAAGATCCCAGGCTAACGGTCATACTGCACTGAACAAAATTTCTCATCTACAGCGTAAACTGGTATCGCCGCACCTCGAAGGTAGATTTACAAACATCAAGTTTGGTTTCTTTTTCGGTTTCCTTTTGGTAACCTAATTATTAGGCATGGGTGAATAGAGGATTTCGGGTCCAAATCGAATTCTAAGCGAATTGTGATTTTGGCCGCATAACTTAGAATCAAATAGTTTGAATAGTACAAACAAAAAATACAATAAGATATGTTTAAACTATAGCTTTATATTTGCCCTATTTGGTATTAGAAGTACTGTAATTGTTAATGTTAGGTGTACTGAGTTCGGGAGTGCGAAATGGTCAAAATAGTCGGAAGCTTGCGCCACCTAGCCGGAAATCCAAGCCAAAGTGTTTGAAAAGGTAGAATAATTTGATATTGTCGAAAAATTTTATACTATTGTCGAATACTGAAATTTGATTCGAAGTGAATGCCGAATAGAAAAGAATTCGATGGGCTATTCGTAATAACCGAATATTTGCCCATCTCTACTAATTATTCATAGGTTGTGCCAGCAAAACGATGCAGCAGTCTCGAAGGCACCCTGGGGCTTTCGATCAGTTGTGAGCGTACTCCACCTTATCCTTGTGGCCCCAAGAGTCACTGCTCAGCATTCATTCCCATACCCTGTGAACCATGTGGGAGAAAAGGGATTAGTGTCAGCTCTTGCTCTACTATACTTTCCATCTCAGCCTTCACAGCTTCTCTCGCTGTACTTGGAGGTAGATCTCTAGTTGTGTATTTGAAATAGGAATGGAACATACATTCAGATAATTTATAGATTTCTAGACCTTATGATGCATGTAATCAATTAATAATTCTGAGAAGATAAAGTGATATACTGCCTTAGTGCCTCTACTTTGACATGCAATGAATGCCTGTCTCATCTATTAAAAACTTTAACTGCAAAGGAAAAAAATGTTCTTTTTTAAAGGGAGGCACTACCCAGAAAAAATCATTTCTGCAAAAAAGGTTGATTTTGAAAGAATGCTTTATTTACATCTGCCAACATCTAGAGAGTATTCCCAAAAAGTTTCATTAGTTTAGGCTGCATAGCTAATTTTTTATAAATTATTTTCGGTCCACCGATGCTAAAGAAAAGGTAGGGGTTGGAGCACTTTGAATGCATATTTGTCCGTTCCACTTTTCGGCATAAATTACACCTTAGGAAAACTATTGTTTTCCTATTACACAATAGAGAATGATTAGGTGGTTTTCTGGGATAGGATTTTGTAAGGAGCATGCCTGGCTGGTTAGTTTTTTTACTTTAACATTCTTTAATGCTAAAAAAACTACAATTGTTAAAAAGTGCAGACATGAAAACATTTTTTTTTTTATCTTCTTATGGAGTTTATTTATGAAAAGCAATGCAATATAGCAAACGAACTGGCTGGGTATGTGCTATGGGTATTCCTATAACTATATTACACATAAATATCACAAATTTTTATTTTATTTTATAACAATAGTTTTTTAAGCAAACACACTGACTTCCATATTGTAACATTCATAACAAGTTTCAGAATTGACATAGGACAATGAAATTTTTCGTGGAAGATTTGTTTTGTGACATGCTTGTCCCAATTAGGCTGTTTAAAAAAGCACTTTTCTTTTCTTTGCAGTTACCCTTTAAGGGTTTATAAAACAGGGCCGAGAGTTACTCCCTATAAAGAAGTCCCACTTAGATAGGACCGGAAGGAAAACTCAATCACATCTGGGACACTGATGTTGAGGTGGCGAGCGAGGTCCGAGAAAGAGCGACCGGAAAGCTTGCGTACCAGATCTCAACTGCCTTTATTCTTCTTCTTCATCAATCTTCTCTTTGTCTCCCCTAGTGGAAGTGAAACTCAATTATCTCTAATGAAAGAGAAGTGGACTTGGTCGTTACCGTGTAACCTTGGGCCACTACAGACCCATAACATTTTGATAATATTTACATTTGTATTAAAGCAGTGTTTCTTGCCCAGTTCTCGGGAGATGTTTCAATGTTAATATGCTGCTTCTCTCTTTATCTCTGTTACTCAGGAAGAAGTTACGTAGAATCTGGTTTTAGCAATCATCTCCATTCTGGGTTACATTGAATCTGGGTGACGGAATGTTGACTCTATTTGGAGGTTTTTGTACACAGGAAACCTCCAAATATAATCCAAATAGTCCTGCAACCACAAAAAATGCTTTTAGTGTAGTTGGAGTCTGACCACATGGTTTCGTATCATGACTGCCAGATGCATTGAAGTTTTGTTGCAGCCATAAATAAAGAGCTGAAGCTTCTCTTACAGCTCCATGCTTTGGTCATTTAGCACCATCACAGCTTCGTGATGGTGATAAGGACAGCTGTTTATGTGCCGAGAGACTGAGAGAGAGGAGGAGACCAGAGCGTGCGGGGACGTTAGAACGCCGAGCTCTGGTTGGAATGATTAGTGGCTAGACCTAAAGCTAGCTGCTTTTCTCTCCACTGCACTCGTCACAGTTTGAATGTAACAGCCAAACGACGGGTGCCAGTGTTTATCGTTCTAACGCGTTCGACGAGTGCAGTGGAGCCAAAGGCAGCTAGCTTTATGTCTACCCACTAATCGTTCCAACCAGAACTCGGCATTCTGTCAGTCACGCAAGCTCTCGTCTCCTCCTTTCCCTCACTTTCTCTGTGCATTCTTTAGTGCATCAAAAATTTGCAACACCTAGCGGCCTAAATACGAAGTTCCAAAAGAAAGCTGGAAAAACGTTTTGCAGGAGCCGCTAATAACTTACAGGATTTGAAGAAACAGAATGAGAGTGAGATGTTACGAACGATTTCTTAATTTGCAGTTTGAAATTGGGGCTGGAAACGGGCTCTTCGGCAGCGTCAAGGGCTTCAAGACCATCTCAAAGCGAAGGTGAGCTCTTGCCCGAGTGTTACATTCCCAGTGATGCATCTGTAATGCCCTGGTTCCACATCTGAGTGCCATTTCCTGACCGCTGTTGCATCCTTATTTTACCAACTGTTTTTCTCAAACTGATGGGCTTAATGTGTTTCCTTGGTTTCAGTTTTGTCTCAATGCAAGGCATGTGTCAGGTGACGCCGATTGGCCTGAGGCCTGGTTGCAATGCTGGTAAGTGATATTAAGCAAATTACCTATCCTTTTATTAGTTGGTAATATTTCGAGCTTTCGATAGGTCGAGCTTAGGGCTATTCTTACATCCTGGCAAGCTTTTCGGTCATGCTGCACTGGTATATTAAACATAAACAGCTGAAGGGTCAGACAGGGACACGAAGACGGGACTTGTCCACCTTAATATTTAAGTACTTGTATACCGACACTCACCAGGGGAAAAAAGCAGCTGCACCTCAGTTTTAGATTTAATGTGAAAGCATTAACTGTCCTACGGGGCGAACCGACGTCATCAGCTTTGAACCTACCCCAAACATTGGCCAAACGGTACCTAAAATTCCCTTTCCCAATGGAGTAAAGTGAAGCCGATTTCTCATGGATTATGCTCCCATCGGCTGGCACGCATCATCAAGGAACGAGGCTCCCATTGCCTCTCGTGCGGCATAGTTCCAGAGAAAAGCCACCGGAGAAGCCCTCTCCACGGCGGCGCAGCGCGTGCAACGGTTCGGCCGCCGGTAAGAGCAGTTCGGCGGTTTGGGCCTGGCGGCAGAGCCTGCTAGGCCAAGCTCCAGGGAGAGTGCACGGCTCAGCGTGGCGCAGCCACTTCACGAAAGCACGCGCTCGGCCGTCGGCCGGGGAAACGTGGCCGTCCATGCCACTACGCTGCAGACGAACTAAGGGAGCTGAAGAACAACATTCATGCTTTCGCATTCACAACTCATAAGAAGTGCTTAGGTGTCCTCGGACATTCTTTTCTTTTTTTTTTCTTTAGTTAAAACATTTTTACTGGAGTGAGCGAAAAGTCTGTATTTGTCATACTTTTCCAGATCGAACATAGGGGTTCCCCAGGTACCCACAGGAGTTCTTTGAGCAAAGAAGTTTGAAGTGCCTTTCCCAGTTTGAAGTGCCTTTCCCAGTTTGAAGTGTCTTTCCCAGTTTGAAATGTCTTTCCCAGTTTGAAGTGCCTTTCCCAGTTTGAATAGCCTTTCCCAGTTTGAAGTGTCTTTCCCAGCTGTGTCATGTGTTAGAACCCAACAGTTGTTCAAACATCTCCATTTTTTCCCCTTTTTTCTTAGCCTGCATAGTAAGCTCATGAATCATCTTAGTGCGAGAATACGGACGGAGTAGGAGGTGCAGTCTTTGAGAGAACTTCTGTTGCCTAAGCACATATATACACCAAAAATATGGCTTGAGCTTCAAATATAAAATGTAAAACAAATGCAAACATTGCAGGTCACACGTGGATGCAGGTACAGGTATGGTTTAGATTTGAATAAAAATCTGGGGGCACAAGTTGAATGTAAATTCAGAAAATAATTGGAATTAAGGGATGTCCAACTCGACATGCCAAACACGTTCCGCTTCACCAGCATGGCAAGAAAACAGGGCACAATGTTCTCAGCTACTTTCAAAGGTTCAAGCGTCTAAAAGTCTGATGGCCTTCAATAAAGCCATCTCCAAAGACAAATACAAAGTCTTCGAAATTTCTGACGCTACAACCGGACATCACTTAAAACCTTATTGTGCTTTCTAATGAATAAACCGCACAAGCAAATTCCGACTGAAAAGAAAGAAAAGATTTTTTTAGGCAGCCTGTACCCGGTGCCCAAACTGCACTCGGTGCACAGTTGGCACCAGGTGCATATTCCGCACATAAAAAAGTCTTATACACAGCACTGCTTGAAAATTTCTGCTATAGTATTAGGTAGCTCACCAAGAATGTCGCACAGAAATCATCATTAGCATAACCTATCATTCACCTAATTCATCACGTCTCCTCTTAATAATGTTAAAACTACAAATCCTTGTATGGTTTGCACATCTGGATAGTCTGCACTGCATGAAATCTGAACTGCGAACTGTAATTTGGAAAATACAGTATATATCCGGCAGCACTTCTTTGCTGTGTGCATGAAGTGAATTGGATATATTTCAGTGTTGTGCAAATATTAAAAATTTAGAATAGTAGTTTTGAATAATACACTATTCGATATTCACTTTGAGGTGAACTGCAATATTCATATTTTTCGAAGTGTTAATCGTAGCGGGTTAGCCCCGTTGAGTGTGCTTCTTACTCAGCACGGGTGCACTGCGGAAAAACAACACCTTCAGAAGTGAGCTTTGCGGGTGTTGTTTACCTGCCCTCCTAAGGCATCAAACTTTCTGAGGTCACAGTTTTTATATGTAGTTAGTGTTACATTAGAATTAGCTTGTGCATGGACAACTGGAAGCTGGGGAACAACCTTCGTGAGTTCAGCTGGGTTTTCGTTTAAGCATGGGGCAGCAGTAGCGATAGGCTTAGAGAAGTTATTTGATATTTGAATGGAAAATCTTTGGCCGAAACCATTATTCGCTTTGAATTTGCTTCGAACTCAATATCCACTATTTGCATCTGACTACATTTCACATATCGAATTAGACAGCCATTTAAGCATTATTTTTTTAGGAATTTTATTGATAAATGTCATAAATTTGGGTTGTGTCATTATTGATTTGAATTGAATAGCGCAGTGTCGTTATTGTCTTGATACCTACTTAGCATAAAGGCGATCGATACAAAATGCATTGCATGTTTGTGTCAACCTGTTTGGATCTGTTTAGGATCCTAACCGGGGACGTTGAATTTTTGGGAAGCAAGTTAGGGATGGCAACGCATTCGGCACCCATCGGCTTTATGGGAAGTATTATGATAAAATAAAACCTTTTGATTGACCTACAATGAGCCACCATGGCTGTATTGCAGCGGCTTATGATCTCCTACCTACTTCCATGAGGAAGACAGTAGCCACCATTTTGCCTTTATGTTGTAGCCTCGATACCACTTCCCACATCCTATGCTATAGAGAAACTTGAATGAGGCCATAGTCAGACGTTTCGGTTTTGGTGTAGTGGCTTCTGTGCATGCCGTTTGTCCCCACCACAGCAAAGCACGGATGCTCTTCTTTTTATGCTCTTTGGCTCCGAGTGCTTTCAGCTGGTAGACCTAGAACCAAAGTGATTTTGGTCAGCTGAACATCGCCTTCAAGTGGTTACAAAAAGTGCCAACGAAAACCCTGATCAATGTGGCAAATATATTATGATGACAGTGGTGAAACAAGCAGCCCCGCTACTGCAGTGGTCAACTGGTTGGTGCTATATTTCTAGGAGTAGGCTATTTTTTGCTGTTTTTGCACAAACAGAAAATAATGCCTAAAACCGGAGTCGGCTAGCTTTTGAGGGTGGGGCACCTCTCGGGACGTATAGATCAGGTGGTCACATGGTTGTTGTCACTACGAGTCACTTTGATGAAACTATCATGGTCATGTGACTACTTGATGTCAAGTGACCTCGTAAAGCACACTACACCACAACATCAAGTCACGTGACGACCTGAAGTGGTGCCATGTGACAACTAATAAGGAGAGTTTACGTGACCACTGTGACCTAAATCATTATGTAATCATGCGACATCATGTGGCCTCTCCCGACATTGGGGTTACCATTTTTTTTGGCAACATGACTACATAGCAGGCATAGCAACGCACGCCCAAGCCGCTTCGCTGGCGCAGGAGTAATGCATCGGAGTGCAGAGTAAGTGGTGTGGGATCTGAGACAAAGTGTTTCATGTGCCGTAGCATTTCTATGGTATCTCTCCCCCCTCTGAAAATTTCCTGTTGTCACATTGAAACAGATACACATGTATGGGAGGGTGAGGTACACATGCCGTACTCTTCTCGTTATCATCACATGTATGAGTTGTGGGACGAAGCGATCACTGGGAGTGCTGCAGTCTTTATAATGTCTCGCAAGTGGAAGGAGCAGACCGGAGAGGAAACGGGGGGTTGAACAGAAGCGGTGACGTGCCAAGTACAACTGTGCTCGGCATACCTTAAAGGCACTGGAATACAGCCGCAAAAATACAATAGCAACGCCGTTGGATTTTGATGCTACGGCAAAACACTGCAAAAGCATAGCTCCATTTTTTTTTTTTTTTTTGGAGAAACACTTGGCAGCATTGTATTTCTGGTGACAGCTTTATGTGAAGCTCGTGACTTGTAAACCAGCCCTAAAACACAGTCTGCCCTGTTAACAGTAGGCCTAAGAATATCATCTCAGTCAACTGGGAACCATCCAAGACATTTAAAGGGAAGCTGAAGACAGATAAAAATTGATTCTAGGGTAGTTTTATCCTGTGAATTCGAATATCACATCACATTCATCTTCGCCAAAGATGTAACTAAACGCAAGAGAACTGGAAAAACCTCCGACTAATCATTACGCCATAAGAGGAGGATCTTTCGGCCACCAAGCGCGTGTTGTTCATGTGGGCAGCGCGTGCAATTGGAAGCTTTCCAGGTATATTCTCCCGCACTGGCACCACTCGTGACATTTTTTTCTGACCTTGAAAATAGCAAGAGTGCACGTGCATGGCTTTGACAGGCATTGAAGATGTGCGAGAGCAGAGATTCCGGAAACTCCTTTTATGACATCATGCTCTGGGAAGGAGGGGCTTCAGCGTTACTACTTTGAAAATGATTTTCTGCAGCCTCTGTGCACCAAATTGAAAAAAAATCTCGATATTCGAGATCCTGGAGGCCAAATGAAGACGAAGACTAGAGCAGTAGTTCTCAACTTATCAGTGTCGAGGAACTTCTATTTGCTAAGACTGATAGCCGAGAAACTTGTCCTGGTCCGAGCATTGATTCAATAAACCATTAATGAAGCCTACAGATCTTGTAAACAGTAGCGCACAAGCTAGGAAGTATTTTGCTCATAGTTATGCATCAAATTGTAGCTTAGTGCTTAAACTGGGAAAAGACTTTACTTGGGGGAAGGGACGGCCAAGAAAATTTGAGAACTTAAAGAACCCTGGGGGGTCCTCAGGGAACCCCTGTGCACCTAGAGACCCGGTTCGAGAACTCATATGGTAGAGTTTGGCTGGCAAGTGGTAAGAGAAGGTTTTGAAGCTATAACGAGTCAAGCAGTCAGTGCGAGCATTTTCACAATGGGATTGTGAGGAGATGCAAATTGCACAGGGTGCTTATTTGTTGGCAGTGTTGGCCAGGCAGCTGGGCAAGCATACTGTGGGCTACCTCACCTGGAAAGCTGGCATCCAGTCTTGCATGAACACTACCGTCATTTACGACACCAGCTACGGCAATTTCGTCGCTTCGCTGCAGGCAAGTCTCTCTACGTGCGCAAGTGTGCTCGTATGTCACGCCAGTCACTAGACTAATAAGATGATGACGATTAGTACCCAACTTTTGGTGTGGCCTTTTGCAGTTCGGAATTCCAAACACATTTGCAATGATGAGCTACATCTACAAGTTTCCAGATGAGGGCAGGCTGAAGGGCAGCATCAAGTAAGTGTACTGCAAACCTCTTGCTCGTTTCGCTTTATGCCGACACGGTGTGTGTGTGTGTGTGTATAACTTTATAATTGACCTTATACAGTGTGCATTTTATATTTGGGTTCCCGTAATAGGCCTCTAATTTGTGTTTTGTCACTATGTAGTATACCACTATTTAATTCGAAGGGATTAGTAGTGGCTTTAAGTCCTGAGAGCTGCCGAGCATTGTTCACAATGTTCATTGCTGCGGATGGGTTCAAGAGCATCCAGTGTGGGAATGATAGCTATATCCTTTCTAATAGAATAGAGAATTTTTGTACTGTGTACATCTCTTCAATTTTATAATAATGCCATTGGAGTGCAGACTGGAGTGTTGATCACCGGTGTGTTGCGGCACACTGCCACAATTTATGCGGGGATATGTGCACGTGCACAAAGCATGCTCACGTGCGAGCGTCATTTGCTTCACTCTTTGCTGACTGCACACAGCCCCGGCTCCTTGTTTGTTGATAGAACTATCCGCCACAGGGGCTGTGTGCAGTCAGTAGAAGAGCCTAGCAGACGACGCTCGCACATGAACGTTTTTTGTGTGCACACACTTCTCACTAATATCACCGCACTGCTTCATGACAGGGTGATGACCGGCCCACCAGTCGATGCTCTCGTAATATTACAAGGCAGGAGAGCTACACCTCATTGGGACAGCATAGGAAGGTTTTACAGCAACGCTGTTAAGCACTAGTTTTTCCAGGATCATGTCCACAAGCAAAGAAATTATGACACCGAACCTTGGACAGCTACCGCCATCTATCAGCGACGGCGGCAACCAAACAACTGGTTGCCGCCGTTGCTCATAGATGGTGGGAACTTTTCTTTGGAGGAAGAAGAGCGGGAGCAGAACGAGCGGCAATGTGTGCAGCAGCGCAAATGGTTTTGCAGCCGCCGCGAAGCCGCTATCGCCTAAAGTTCCACTGCGTCGAGCGCTTCAAATTCTCTTGCGAAAGAAGAGCAGATCGCTCGCCTGGAAAGCCACCACCGAGAACAGAAGCTACAGCTCCGCTGCTCTTCCTTCACCAGAGTGGAAAGACTGAAAATTCTTTTAATTGACATCCCTGAATAATTGCATTGCCCTCAAAATACCCCCAGGCCAGCAATGTAAGAAAACCAAACATTACATGCTGATACAGTTCTGTGAGCCCAGGCCAAAGCTGAGTAAGACTAGAAGCTCTGACAATATACGTCCAATCTTTGACACAGCTGCAGGGCGAGACCGTTGCTTGCTAGGTGGTAAAAGGTGTGCAACCTCCTCACACAGTGATTATCAGCCAGCAGATCACAGATGTAGAAACATGATTTCTTGGAAGCAGTCGGTGTTGTGACTCGGAAAGGGGACGGCATCAAACTAACGACAACTTGCGTCTATTGTTGCGAGCCAGTCAGTCCGTGCATCCTGCCCAACCAGTGAAACTCTGCCTTGTATGCAGATTGTGATTACTTTGTATCATGAGATACTGTAACTAACCCGGATAGCTATGAGTTAGCTATCTGGGCTATCACCTTACAAACACTACAGTTAGTAAGTGAGGCATCAAGAACAAAAGTTAAACTAAAAGTGAAGTCAATAATATAATGCACAGCTGCTGTAGAATTATATGGTAGGTGACGGGTAAAGAATTCAGCGGCAAATGCGCCTCGAAGGGATTCGTATCACCTCCGCCAGCCAATCGCTTCCACTTACTGACGTCGAGGCTTGACGAACTATCGTTTTCAACATGGCACAACGCTGGTTTTAACGTTTTCCACTTCGGCTTCGCCGTGGGATGCTGGCTTCTTGAAGTGACCAGGGTTTACGTTGCAGAGCTGTGCCGGTATCCGCTTTTATTGTGCACGGTAGTTGCTGTGTTACAATGTTAGAATTCAACGGTCGTCTCGCTGTCAAACTTTAGCTGCTATTGACATGCTCAGCACCCCGTCCCCCGTTGAGACCAGCGCAAGCTTCCTCTATGCCCATGGTATCTCTTCATTTGTTTAGTGTTTGCCCCTTGGACGAAGTTTGTCACAAAATCTTGCAGGTGTGAGCATTTTTCAATGTGATTTTGCGATGGCATGACATTGCTGCGGTCACTGCTATTATTGCAATGTGCTGCATGAAATACCTGAGTGATGCCACTGCCGTGCTGCCTCCCCGGACTCCGTCTGTTTTTCTGCTCGCTTTAGTAAGTTAAAGATGCCGCTGATATGATGCCTTCACAATGGTATTTACTATATATCCATGTATAAATACTGTTTTTTTTATATATATACATATATAAATACCGAAACTAGCGCCCGCGCCAAGTTTCATCATTGTGATCAGTCAAATGGTAAATGAGGTATGTAGCAATTGCCCCCTCCTATCGTTGTCACACATGAGGGTGCCCTGTTGCCACCTTTGTCAACATGAGGTAGAAATTCTCCCAGCACATCACCTTGTATGAAATAACACAGGTACCTTTGCCACCTTGCAATGGTGCCTTTTCTTTCTAAAAACGGTGAGTTCTGTTCCCTCCCCTCGCACTTGAAGCTGACGCTGCTGATGTCGCAATGTTGCGGAGTTGATGGCACGCTACTTTTCGACAGGAGAGACACTCGCAGCGGACACATTATGCCTGTTGTGCAGAGCATTTACCGAATTCTAAACCTGTCACTGACTTTATAGTCACACTTCTTTCTGACTTTGGTTTGAAAGCTTAGTCCATCCAAACAAAAATCTTTGTCCTCCATCCAAAATATCACGTTTGCACTTTTTTTGATAAAATTGATTCATTCCATAATCCAACTGCAAGTGGACAGATTTTCACCTGAGTTCATTTTGCCTTTGATTGTTCAAACGGCGTTGCATCTCCTTCATTATTCATAGTTCATAGCAAGTAATATTGCCCGTTGCTAAATTTTTATAGAGAATTTATATCTTTCATTTACTTTGATTTATTGCCTTTGTGGGAGAGTTTATAATGTACAATAGTACCATACAAAATGATAGAGGCAACACACTGCTACACAAAAGAATGCACTAAAATATGGGAAGTCACTTAGTATTTATATAGCAAACCAGAGAGAACTTCTGAACATTCCCTGCTTTTACAGGTTGAAGCAATGCCACCCAGACTGAGAAAGCCTCTGCACCTGAGTTTTGACACTGTCACACTATGACTGGGCGCAGGCGCGGTAGCCCATGGATTTCTAGTCGGCGTTTGGTTGGCACTCGTATTCAGCCAATGCGTCTGTTACCTGCTCAAACCCACTCGCTTAGTTGGCGCCATCATAGTGCGATGACGTTCAATAAAAAGAAGCTATGGGACTGAAGAGGCTTTCATTAGACTAGATGGTAGTATCTTGTCCGACCTTCAAAAGTTCTGTTCACACGAGGATGCCACTGGTGCGAACAGATTGTTGTGGTGCAAGTGCTTATGCAAACTAATTGTTTTTGAGGCTTATATACACTGATTGTGTTGCTACTGTGCTTTTGTCTTTGACGCTTCTGCTCGCATCTTTTACGATTGAGTGTGACACACAGTTGGATATTTTAACCCCTACAGGGTCGGGACCTTCGGGGCGGTTGTGGAGTATGGCTGTGAGCGCAAGATCTCTCAGCACAACACTGTGGGAGCCTCCATGGTCATTGGCATCCCCACAGGAATCACCCTCAAACTCAAGTGAGTTCCACAACCCTGTCCTGCAAGGCGGACATTATTTTGGCCTTCAGCATCTTCTTCGTGTTCACAGAGTCTTGTGACGTGACATATCTGATTGATTATCATTCCTTGATAGGAAGAATAAGGTTTCATTCAGGTATTTGTGTATCTTTTAATTGTGCAAGTTTACCTTATGTTTAAGTATTTGTTTCGTTCGAGTGATATGCACTTGCCAGCCTGCCTGCACTCGTGCTTTATTCACATTAAGATATTTTGCCCTGTTAGCTTGACCACCGAGACAAGCGCCGCAGATTTTCAGCTAACACTTTAAGGAATGTGCAGATTTATTATCTAGAAATGCTTTTTGGAATGACTGCATGTAAACATTTTGTTTTCATACCTGCGTGCAGTGCAAATATTTTAATACAGTGTATTAAAAGAGATCAAATATGATTTATTTGCCATCAGAAACATTGACAAAAAATATTTTAGGCACTTTGTACAACCCTGACAGTTACCAGCAAGGGTAGTTAAAGGTGAACAAGGGTTTCTATATCTTTGTCATTTTCTGGCTCTGACTTGACCTTCCCGGTTCACAATGTCTGAGGAGCCACAGATCATCTGAATATACATCCTGCTTCTATGTAAAACATACAATCAAAGTCTCGTGCCTTTTCCTTATTTGCGTCGAGAAAAGGCTCTGTTGGACAATGCACAATGGTGTTCCGCCACTTTGGAGCATGGCTTTGGTCCAAGTCTGGTCTTCCCCTGTGGCTAAAAGGGTCTCCGTTTAGCATTGGTTGAAATGCCATGTCAGTTGCCCAAGGGGGAAGAGATCAGTGCCAACCATGACACTAGAATCACTTTCTTCTAAACCTTCTTCACTCCTTCCTTCCTGCACAAAAAAGGTCGCTAAATTCTGATTGACTGTTGTGTGTTTCTGGCGGTCGTGCGCAATCTGGCTTAGTCTATTTTTTGCCTTCGCTCTTCTCGGTGCAAACGGAGCGAGGGATAGGACCATTAACGAGGGACAGGATATGAGACTTCGCAGAACAGGTAGATCGAGTTAGAGGCATAAAATGGCACGCGGCAAAGACCTCTTCACAACAGAGTTCCACAACCGAGCCGATCTAAGAGCAACAGCTTGCACAGCCTCTTATCTGCTGTAGTCTCTGACAGAATAAGAATGGCAGGGAGGACTTTCAGTTGTCCCGCCTGCTTCCAGTGCGAGCTCTCTGCCTTCGATAATGTTTTGGCATCCAGTGAGCCTCGAGTGTGCATGTGCATCCAGAATGTGACTGAGGGCAAGGAGTCTGCGCCGAAGGCCTGGCATTTGGAGGAGGTGCCCTGCACTTTTTGTTCTGGCAGGGACTGTAGGGGTCGATGAAAGGGTTCACCTCAGTCACGTTGGGGGAAGCGTCGGCCCCAGAAAAGGCACTCCATGCACGCTTCTCTCCAAGGACTCTGGTTTTTAAAGAAGCAGGGTTCCCCAAGACCGGTGTCTATATTAATATTGACTCTGCCATATTTTTGTGCCGCACTCAAAGAACAAAATGAGAGGAACAAAATCTTGCACCGATTAGTTGGTTGGTTTTGTGGTACCCATTTTTCACTCATCTGCTAGCTCATGTGCTGTGGAAACCACGAACCCTAACTGTAAACTAATGGGTTTGTGCATGAAGCAGCCAGTACACCTAGGATGTGTATTTCTCTGCTTCTTTCTCAGTCTATTAGGCAGCAGCAGCCTCAGTGTTATCTAACAGTGCCCTCAACACGCATGACTTGCAGGCTGAACAGGGCAAGCCAGACGTACATGTTCCCCATCCTGCTGTCCGAGGAGCCGTTGCCCAGTGCCATCTTCTATGGAACCATCACTCCTTTGGTGGGCTGGTACATCCTGCAGACCTTTGTGATCGTGCCTTACACTGAAAGACAGAAGCGAAGGTTTGTCCAGCACTTGCCCTGTGTGCCTGCTGCATTTAGTCTGTCGCCACACTCTGACAAATACTCATGGACATTGCAGTTTTCTTTTATTTGTGAAACATTCTTTGGCTAGGTGTTTGGCATTTCGTGAAGCCTGGGTATAAGCGTGGCTGTGAAGCTTGTCATTGATGGGTTGGTTGAATGGGGGGGGGGGGGGGGGGAGGGGGAGGGGGAGAAGGGAGAAGAAGAGAAGCCATTACAGTGAAAATGTGTTTGCACCAGGCAATAATCGAAACAGACCATTTAGATAATTAAGCGAGTGTCTTTCCAGCATATCACGACACATCACCGTGAGTTGAGTTGCCATTTGGCGGGAAAGCCCCGCGGGGCATCCGCTCTGGCTGCATCCGGCAGATGGCAACTTGACACCCTGTCGTACCCTTTTAAAGCCCATTTGCTCGGGTATCTTCTTTCCAGGAATTGCTATTGAGCATACATGCCACGTGTTACGCCAGTCGCTAAACTAACCGATGAAGAGTGCCGAGAGTGTAGACTCCCCATGTTTCGATGCAACACAATTGCCCAGCAATTTGCTGTGCATTTTTTCTTGTTTCCCATTCCCATTCTTTTCAATTAAGTGTAGACCGCATATAACGTATGTCTCGGGAGTCGCGAAAATCCGCACTATAAGCGGTACCGCACTATAACCAAAACATCAATTTTTCAGGCCAAAATACATGCCATGAGACAACTTACCTTTGTAAAAGAATTTATTTTATGTTAGATGAAAAAATAAGCTTAGCTTGAGGAAAGTCTTTATTTCAATAGACTAGTACAGTTATGTCTCAAGTGTGTCACACATTTTAAAAGAAATGAGCGGCTTTTGCCTGGCGCAGCCTTTTAACGGCGTCGCGGGTTGCGGACGGACGTCGCGAGCGTTCAGGATTGCTAACCCTAATCACTTTTCTCCGGAGATGAAAACGCGTGAAAATTCGCATCCTTCATACGGTACGCGCCAGTAATACCTTGAACTTGAGCACACGCATGAAATGCGCCAAATAAGAAATCCGGGCGATGTTCGAGGACACAAATGCTTAGAAATCACCACTGTAGTCGAAGTAAACAAACACGACGACACGGGCGTTTCTGCCGTCTTGAGAGCGCCGCCACGACATCGCCGCACGAGTAGGTGGATCTTCCCTTCTAGTACGTGCTGGGTTATCATAGCGACACACAACGAAAATTCAGAGTCAAGGATGGCGCTTTTACGCAGAACGATGAGATGCACGCCGTCTACGATGACGATCACAACCGACGCCCGCGACCGGCATGCAACGCGCGCGAACACTTCTCCTCGACCTGCGATTGGTCTGTCGTTGCGGTTGTTTGTTTCTTTGTTTCCAACGCAGCGAAGGGACGCACGCACGTGAACGACTCGTGCGTGCGTCCCTCCGTCGCTATGGCAACTGAAGCCTGTCTCTTCGCTTCTCCCACGTTTTCGAGCAACCTCCTTGCCCCGCGAGTGCAGTTTGCGGCTCGCGCCGTCAGCTTGCGTCAGCGCCGTTATCTAGTGTCGCACAGGGAAGCGAGCTCGCTGCTCCGGTCGTCGGCGCGGTCGGCGGGCTGTGCCAAAAACCGTACTATAACCGGTATTTCCCTTCGCGCGCCTGTATTTTAAGCGGTATGTAATTACATGGAGTTCTATGGGAGGTGAACCGGTGGTTTAAAAAAACCGCGTTATACCCGGTCCTGCACTATAAGCGGTTACGTTGTAAGTGGTCTATACTGTACCCACTTTTTATGCTGACAGTACTCAAATAAATAACCCACCCCCCCTCTTGTGTGTGTCATTGAAAAGGGCAGCAGAATATATCCTGCACTTGAGAGCTTATTTTAAACCAGGGTGTCGAACCGGAACCGAACCGAACCGAAAACCGGAACAGAACCGTTATTTTTAGCCGAACCGGAACTGAACCGAACCGAAATCTTCGCCGCCATCTTGGAACTGAACCGGAACGGAACCGGAAAAAAATATAACGGTAACCGGTTCAAAACGGTTCACGGTAATTTTTTTTGTTAGTATTACAGATTTATTATTTGGGAATAAAAAATTGGCACGTGAATTCCTCTAAGTATTGATCAAATCGTCATATACAGAATTCCAATGTATAATAAATCCTGTTTTTTTGCGGCGCTTTCTTATTGGCACTATGAATAGCCATGTGTCACATCGTCACGTGACGTCATAATGTCAAGACATGCTGTCAAGTAATGTCACATCACGTGACCCCGTGACGTCACGTGACTCACCGCGTAAAGTCGATTCAAATTGAGGACGTCGCTAGATCTATTAACGTTGTTGATACCGTGACGTCACATGACATCACAACTTCGCACTGAGAGTCCCGTGACACCATGATGTACCCGATTGTCATGATCCCGAGTCAAATGCTCTGGTTCATGACAACCAGTATCACCAAACATTCGGGTAACGGCTCGTGTTCAACTCAAAGATTCTGATGGACCCGAGTCCCACTAGAGCTAGAAGCAGAAGCAAACGAAAGCGACAAGCCTCAGACACACGCAGCACGTTCGCGATGGTACCTTTATACGGCTTTGAGTTGTTCGGTGCTCGCGAAGTTAGCAGGAGTGTTTACAAGCCTGCAAATGGTACCATCGTGTGCATGATACTCGTGTTTGAGCATAGCCTTCTTTATACTACAAAGCCTGTCAAATCGCGAAATACTCTGGTTTAAGGCTATCCGCTGTCGTTTGTTTCTGTTTGTCGCTTTAGTGGGGCTCGGGCCCCTTTGTAGCCCAACTAAAACTATATCTGAAGATTAGCCCATGCTTCGCTTTGCCAACCCTGCTTATGACTATGATAAACACTGACGCTGCATATATTAGGATCAGATCACGTGGCTGATAGTTCTAATTGCGAGTTGAGGAGGGGAAAGCTGTTTCATTTCTTTCTTTCGACTGTCTCTCATTTCTCGGAGGAACAAACTAATGGATGCTTTTGCAAGTTATCAACGTCAGGGATTACAACTTGGCGGTATTTATTGAACTGAAGGTAAAAAAAATGCTGCACGGCCCATTTTACATGTATGCACACCATTGAGGCTCCCAAACATGTTTTCGTTATTGCTGAACTGCCTCAGAAAGTTGTACCGAGAATAGAAGTGTTAAAGGGTCTAAATGTGACGTATTAGTCTGACGTTACATGGAACTATTAGTGTGTACGTGAGGGATAGCTGAAAAGAAAGATCCTAGTGGTCTCACGGGGATAGCCAAATGTTGGCAGCCGCTCTAAGTCTCACAGGAGTGTCGTTCTCAAGTTCTCCAAGTTTCGACCGCCCTGTATTTTGTTTAACCTTCACAGTTTGGTGCAAAGTAAAAGCAAGGAAGAATTACTGTTAACGAGTGACACAAATATAATTGTCGAGTGAACACCACTCAATACGGAGCAGGCAATCCCTGAGGAATAAAAAGTATCTTGAGGAGCAACTAAAAAAAAGGGAGTGGGGAGGGGGGTAGTTTTAAAGCATACTGTGTCGTAAAGATTCCTCTACCGCGCACTTTCGGCGCAGACTAGAAAGCGTGGCCTGGAAACGATAGTGACAGATGGGTAGTTGGTACAACTTTTATTTGTAAAAACACTCTTGCCAGAAAGAACGTTTTCGCCGCGCCAGATACTCGTGCCGTGTCTAACGACGATGCACCAACAAGAAAAATGTGTGCCTCTCAAATACATAGCTTGCACTGAGCGCGAAAACTTTGCAGCGTATATTTTGCCCCATCGGATTTGATATTCTCAGCAAGAACAACTCGCAATGACAACCAGTATCTAGTGCGATTACGTCACGTGCAAACCATGTTAAATACTTCAGCTTTCTGGTGAAGTGCGACGTTCGCAACACTAGCAGTAGACGTCCAAGGTGTAAAGTTGTGTAGTATTTATAGCAGTCTCGCGATGATATACGGCAGCCTAATGAAATGTTGCAGCACATGACTGATAAAGAACAGAGTCGTCAAGTAAGGTCCCAAAACAAGTGCACGTAAAACCTAAGATAACATTAGTAGTATCTCGCGACGTTTCGAGCTGAGGCAAGCTGATGCCCAAAAGTGACTTATATTAGGATTCTAAAAATCTTCATTTGCCCTGCGAGGAATCTATGTTTAATTAGGAATATAATTTTATGCATTTCTATGCATCTCTTTTTGCAGTAAAGCGTTGTGTAAGGGATTATTTAGAAAAAATTGCGTGTCATCTCCTTATTTCTGCACATTTCGTGTATTTGCCTTGCGATATATCATGTGACCGCAGTGTTTTTTGGCATACCCTGCAACCCGGTATTTTACACTGTAAAACAGCTAACAAAAGCACGTTGCCGAAGACTCAACAGCTGGTGTATTTTCGAGTATCGTCCTTCCGTGTCGGTCTCGGGCGGTTATGTGAACTTCATAAAGTCAAATTTATCGATGATAATACAAATATACTTAATTCCTGTCTGAAGATTTGGCAGCATAAATAGAAGATCCTCACCTCAAAGATATATAAGTAAATGCACTTTTAAATTATCTGAAAGATGTTCTGCAAATCTTTTTCGGCGCTTTTATCCTCTATAGACACGTTATAGGTGATTTGGAAAAGCTTTAAATAATGTTGTTGTTTTTTTATTTCGAAGCTAATTTAAATAACTATATGTGTTCCTCACGCATATATAAATTCTCAAATATATAGAAGTTTATTATTGCGTTTTTTATGTGTTTTTATTATCGCCTTTTTTTACTGGAACGAATGATGGAACTATGACGATTGCACACTTAAACTCTCAGAAAGTGTCCAATTAAGTAGCTTCCGAATTGAGTAGAGCATGAAATCCCACTTTGTTCTATTTGACAAAAATCATCAATTAGAGAGGGTGATGCTTATTTGCAAATTAAATTGACCGGCATTTTGTCAAGAGCAAACCTCAGAACCAGGCTATGCCAGTTTATCCAATATAGAAAATGTTCGC